TATATATATATATATATATATATATATATTGCGGTATTGAGTAGTTTTGCAAACCATTTTAAATTATTGTAAATTACCACAAATCATATCTGTATATTTATCAAGATTTTTTGAAAGAAAGTACACACGACGTTTTCTGAAACAACAAAGCATTGACTTATGAGGGGAGGAGGGTTCCAAAAATTAGGCAATAGAATTGGGTCTCCCATTTTCTAAAAATAAATTCATTAAAACATTCTTAATATTTTAAAATTTCAATGATTCTGGCGGAAATGATAAAAATTCCCAGATTCAAAAGATATTTCTTAATGATTTAGATTTAGTATGATTTAAAATATATTTCTTTCTCTGAACCTTTTAAATCTTTTAAAATATTTTTTTAAAGAATATCAGATATTTTTTCTACATTAATGCGTTTATTTATAGCGTTCATTCGGCTGTGTTGAAGCTTTGCGCAGCTAGGAAGATATGAGTATATGAATGATGATACAAATGGTATTACGAATGGTTTTGAGGTGATTTGTTGTTGTTTTTCATGTCTAAATCACAAAGTAATTAACGCGATATTAGAACCCCAATAAACCCCAATAAAGTGGTTAAATCAGTCAGCCATCGAAGGGTAGTTCTGTTTTAAATGAATTCAAATTCCAAAGAAAGAATATGCATTGATATGATGAGATATGGCGCCCGTTTACTGTGTGTATGTGTGTGTGCGTGTGTATGTGTGTGTGCGTGTGTATGTGTGTGTGTGTGTGTGTGTGTGCGTGCGTACGTGCGCGCGTGCTGTTTTGGTCATTACTCGACGCGGGGGAGTTAAACATTGCCACAAAAAAAAGGACGGGGTTCCAATGGTCCTAGGGATGGAGTTCCAATAGAGCCGCATTTTCGACAGTAGACTGATAGGCCGCCATTAGCCGCCGTTCGTAAGAGAACTCTAGCTCTGGCTGCTGCTCTCATTCATCGATACCGGGCAAATGTTGGAACAAAACCGATTAAAACATAAAAAATAAATAAAACAACAACAACACAGGTTGCGGACAGTACGTGATCTATCCTTTTTAACCTTGTCGTATCCTCCTCCCCTTACACTATATAATCACTCATGTCGGGAGAACAGTCAGGAGCTTAGAGCTTATTCCGACCGGGGCGGTGCCCCGCTGGCGCATACCTGGAGGAGAAAAAAAAACACTCGCAAGGAGGGGGAACACCGGCGCGCCCTTCACTAACGACCATAGCAGTAGCCGCGCCCGGGAACCACCAATTCCCTGGGCACGCGCAGGGCGCGAGGCGTTCGCCTGACGGCGCTTGGCGGTGGCAGGTGGCGGAGCAACCGGCGGGCACCCCGCAGCGCCAGCAGCACTACTCTCCGCCGCAGTACGGCACCCCCGCGCCCCAGCAGTACTCCCCGGCCGCCACGCCCGCCGCCCCCGCGCACTACTCGCCCGCGCCCACGCCCCAGCACCCGGGCCACTACTCGCCCGACGTCCAGCAGCAGCAGCAACAGGTACCCTGCGCTTCTTTCGAGTCATTTTTGTATTAGGAGGACATTTGCGGGCAATCAGGATGATCGATAGAGAGAGGATTTCTATGATTTTGCCTGTTTTGAGGCATGGATAAGTGAAATTTCTTGACATTTGGTTAGAACTGGATGCTATGCAGATTAATATGTTAGTACGTATTTATGCATAGATGGATGATTTTTTCTTTTCTGCGAATATTAGTGTAATTATAGGCGCGTATTTTGCATTTTTTTAAAAATACAGAAATAATATGCAGACTTAGACTTGTATCTCTAAGACGTTTCGTCTTTTCGTAGAATCTATTTATTTGCGAGCATTCGTTGATTAAAAAAGGCTTGACACAGTTTGCGCTTTTTTCTTTCCCACAGATGATAACATACTTCTGCAAATGTAGGATATTTCTTGATATGATCTTTTTTAGATCAGGCAGAAGAAATACAATAAGACATACAATGTACGTTACTAAGATTACTAATACTTTACTAATATTACTTGAATTATTTTTCACACGAAGTGAGATTAAATTATGTTTCCACAAAAAATGTATTTTTTCATTCCAAGCCTGCTTCTTCTGAGTTTTATTAGAAACGATTAATACATGACATAAAATATTAATTTTAATTACATATTAATGTGCATATTTAAAAAGTTTTAGGTCATAAATGCACATTTTTAAAACCATATTTGATGATTTTTGGGCCATGAAAATCCTCTTCCTAATGAGCAGTAACAGTAATTTATAACGTAACAAGTTAATATAGAATTTTTATTCTTTGGATGTGTTTGCTACGTTTCGAAATCAGATGTGCTTCTATCTTCAGGTCCATTTCAAGATTTTATTTTCAAAACTAATTACATAATTAACAGAGATGCGTTCAAACTATTGTAGTAAGCTTTTATCTCTGTGCTCTAACTTGTTATTTTATGCATTATATCTTTAATATGAGAAACTTTAAATGTCATTCAAAAATTCCATCTCTCCATTTTATAGAAAGGGTGTGAATATTTTAAAATACAGTGTGTGTTTAAATATGAGAGACGGAAATCTTTCTATTTTCCAATGTTTTGATATTTTAAATTTGACGTACAGAGAAAAATAAGGTATTAACCAGGTAAGAAAACTCATTCATTTCTCAAAGCAACAGAAGAGCCTATATGATTGGATATTTCTACATTTTGCTTGGATTCAAAATTTGCTTTTGCCTCGTTATACAAACATCAACCGCTGCCGTTATTTGCTCCATATCGGCCTAATGTTAGGTTTTTACGACGATGTTCACCACCTTAGCGCGTAAAAGCGTTGCAGCTTGTGACATTTTACGGTTCAGTTTTATGCACAGTATGTTGTAGATTATGCCTACGTTCACCATTCTCAAACATTCGATAGAGTATCACGCAGGATGCTAATTGTCAGATTTCAACACAGGGATGACGAAATTTCGAGGGAGGGACAAATCAACGAATTGACGAGTGAAATGAAGACAATACGTAGCACAGGTTGAATCAATCGTTAAAATGATCCCAAGGAAATTTTCTTTGCCTTAATTTGAAAATTTCAAAGTGTGGCAATCATAAATGTTGCAACTACTTCGTATGTTGAAGAATATGTAATTGCAACATTTATGATTTCCACAGCCTAAAGTGTTCAATTCAAGGAAAATAACTTTTTTCAAAGACCATCGTAACGATGTACTTAGTCTGTGCTGCTTATTAAATGATATTAGGAATAAACTGTGTGCATGCATTTACGTTAAGTTTACGGTAGGTTAGGCTTCATTCACAATGCAAACTTAAACGTAACGTATTGCTGAAAAAATTACACAGCTTTCAGGCTTTCAAATGACGAATATTGTGACTCACCCTTGACCTTCTTTCAACATGGTTTGTTATCACGTATGTGAATCAATTGTCACATATTATTTTATCGATTGGATGAAATTTATTAATATGGGACAGGGAATTCGTTTCAGACGGAGGTTCTTGTTGGCTGCATGCAACTTACCATGCATTAAACAAACAAAAAAGAACACCTCTTTAAATAATAAGAATAATAGAAAGAAAACATTTATTAATGAGATAACAAGGACTGATTACCGTATGGTGATCATCATTAATCATTGTGGGTACCTTTTGTTTTTCTTTCCCTAACATTGCGATCGCCTATTACTTGTTGTGCAGTTACAATACATTTGGCCCCATCATTTACAAATACATATCAACATAGTTATTACTGTTATTCATTCCATTGGAGTGTTACATAAATACTTGTTGAGCAGCGGCCCCTCTACAACCGTCAACCCTTCGGAACTTCGGCTTCGCCCGGTGGCACTCGGTGCTGTTCCGCGCCGCCGTGATGTCCAACGCCGATGCAATGTCCGTGGCGACGTCCGATTTTGGATTCCCCACGTGTCGTGATATAATTACTCGTTTTCACGGTTAGAAACCAATCCCAAATAATTACACAGTCATCACATGGATCACGCCATTGCTTCTCTTCATTCATTCACATTGTTTTTTAATACCGTGGCGGTTACTCCTAACCAGTACTGTCTCCTTTTCATGAACTACACTATCACTATTTTAGCGGCTATTCCACGTATAATTTACAACTGTGCCTCGTGTTCATCGCCTCGCACTTTCGTCTATCCTATTTACTATTAATTTTGCCTTATTCAGTGTCGCGATACAACTTTCCACTAACTCGCGTCCGACTCGCTCGTCTGCCGTCCACACGTCCGGGCAGTTTTCCGTTGCGTTCTCACTCGCTACTCCTGTTCTCTGCCGCCAACGATATATATATATATTAATATATATATATATATATATATATATATATATATTACCGTGCGCAAAGTAGTTCAATACATAACATTAATGAAATGACATACTAACCAGGAACTATTCTTAACGCAACCTGAAGCCGACTTTTCATTTGCTTCTCCGCAGATTTGGTTATGCATTTTGTTTCTTCGATGCTCTCTCTGGTTTACCTTCGGTAGAATTTCGACGTAAACTTAACGTAAAAGCTTGGTGCTTTGGAACTCCTTAAGTTCACGGATTTACAACCACGTTTACGAGAGGGCGTTGTGAGTGGTATCTCTAAATAAGTAACTTCTATGTTTTGCGGCTACGTAACGTTGACGTTTGTGTTCGCATTGCGAATGAAGGCCTGCGTTGTGAAGTAGCCTGAATGCCAATCGCCCGGGTAGGTGGGCGCGGTCGCCTTCGGGCCAGGCGCAAAGCCAGCAGCCGCAGCCGCAGCAGCTGTACCTGAGCGCGTCGGGGGCGCTGTCGGAGCAGTACGGCGCGGGTTCGCCTCCGCCGCCGCTGCTGGCGCTGGGCGGCGCCGGGCTGGCGCCCCGCTACGCGCCCGCGCCCTCGCCCCTGGCGCGCGACGCCGCCAGCCGCAGCCCGCCCCGCCCCCGCCTCCCGCGCCATGCACGTGGCCTACGCCGAGGCGGCCGCGCGCTACGCCACGCCCCAGCAGATCATCACGGACGACTACCACGGGCAGGTGAGCGCGCGCACTCGCCCGCCGGCGGCGGCCAGGGCGGCTCGCGGCAATGCAGCACTGCCTCTGATTGGGAGGTCATGCCGATGGTGACGGGATTTGCGACACTGGCTACATAGCTACTACTAAGGTCATTGGACCAATCGACTACTACTAAGGTCATTAGGCATCGAAACCTGTCTGGAGAAGAATTTTACTGACCGGCTGCTCTGATCGGCAGTTTTCCGTGGTTTCTCCCATCAACACCAGGAAAATGCCGGAGCAGTACCCTAACAAACGGGCGCGAACTTTTCTTCCTCTTCCTTGTTCTATTCTCACCCGTTACATACCCATACTTATTTGCAGGACACTACCACACATGTCGGGACACCAGTCTGGACCTTAAAGCTTGTTCCGACTGCGGCGGCCGGTGGATACTTGTTAACTTCGTAAGCCGACGCCAGGGTCGGCAAGGGATTTCGCGAGCAGCAGGAGTAGATCACAGCCGTCTCCCGTGATGAAACACCTACCCTACCCTTACGGGTCTAATGACCTTAGTAGTTGACGCGCGCGGAATCACTATTCAATCAATCCAAGGATAAATTATGAATTTTGAAAATTACTTAATTCTTTACTGAAGTGATGTATGATCTTAAATAATATCTCTCTACATATACATTTTTTCCTTTTTATTATTAGAATTATTTTATTATTAAAATTATTAGAATTTATTATTGGAATTATTAGAATCTATTCCTGTGTATATTCACTGGACTCCACGGCACCTTGCCCTGCCTTTTCTTGGAGCCGTTCAAACGCTTCTCGAAATTAATTATTTCAAAACGAAAGATTATTCAGTTTTTCATTATCATGTAAATGTTGTAGTAGGAAATGTCTCCGCTGCCATCTGATCCTCTGGCGAGTTTGGGTCATAACCGACTCAGGCTCGGGAGGAAGACGTATTGTGGCATGGAGGCGGGGAAGTCATATTTCAGTCATGAGTTTGATTGTAATTTAACTTGTTTACTAATGACACTTTCAGTCAAACATAATTTTCCCACGTAATACCACGAGTGCTTTGAAAATTGTCGATAAATCTCCTACTCGCGAAACGAAATTACGTCCAACACAGTTACAAAATGCACCAAATATTGAAAATAACCGAAAGCCTTTTAAAATCAAAGAGGTTATGTTATAGTAAATACGCGGTTTTCTGCATATCAACACAGCGATCGAAACACACCGCCTCCTAAGATGGATAATGCGGAGCTTATTATTAGCCAATAGAGATAAGTGGTGAGAAAAAAATTGGATAGAAAAAGCGATCAATGGTTTGAGATACTACGACCTGATTAGGACATTTTATGTGTAGACCTATCGTTCAAAACTATTGGTTTTAATTTCACGAGCGGAATAGTCATTTCAATCTGTTTGGTAACATCCAGATAGAAAACATGGGTGAACAAAAATGCTCTACTGTCCTTATTTGTACAAACTGTCTATTATAGGTGAGAAGGGAAAATTTTGAGCTCCCTATCTGGCGGGGCGTTGCATGGCGGGAGAGGACTCCCACGAGGGTTCATTTTCATGTGTAACGAAGAGAACCAATAAGCACATTACTTGCCACAATTATTACTGTAACCACCGCCACTACCATTGTTTCCATGACTCCAGTCGTGTTCTAAGTTTGCCAATTGAAATCACAAATAGCTGCGATATAATTTGATATTTGTTTATCTCACTAGCGGATTTTAAGAAATCAATAAAATATGACCCGACATTGGCCAAAAATATCGTGAATAAATACACTTTAATTGATCCACCTTCCATATTAGCATGCATTAGAGTAAACGAGAGCTCGTCCATGACACTACGAAACCCCCTCAGAACGTAGTCCCGACCGCCATTGAAGGGCACCTGGTGCATCTGCATGACACAGGGCCACGCGATGACTCCGCCGCCGCCGCTCAACACGCTGCCCGTGTACGAGACGGCCTCCGGCGTCAAGTACGAGGTGGACGCGTCGGGCCACCCCGTCAAGTACGAGGTGGAGCCCGGCCACACCATCAAGTACGAGGTGGACTCGACGGGCCACGCTGTCAAGTACGAGGTGGACGCCGGGGGCCACACCATCAAGTACGAGGTGGACCTGAGCGCGGCGGGCGCGGGCGCCGACCTGGCCACGCTGCAGGACCTCAAGACGGCCGAGGAGGCCCTGGCGGCGCAGGCGGCCGCGGAGCAACAGCAGCAGCAGCAGCAGCAACAGCACCAGCAGCACCAGGCGCAGCAGCACCACCAGCACCAGCAGCACCAGGCGGCCGCCGCCGCGGAGCTCGCCACCACCTACACCACGCTCGAGACCGTCTCCATGAGCTCAGGCTCGCAGGTTGGTAGAGCTGCTTTACGGCGCCGTGAATTACAGACCGGCGTATTGGACAGGAAAATAAAAAGACTGAGGGAACGGGAAGGGACCGATTTACAAGATTCCTTTCGACGGACGATTCCGATGTTTTAGCGAAGGTGCGCATGCGCCTTGCCGCCCCTTATGTAGGAAGTCGCTCTGTCCGAACTCTTAAGCCATGGGAAATACGAAGGAGACATCGCCCACAAAAAATCGATATTCAAAATTAACAACAATACATCTAAGTACAAAACCGTTAATAGTCTTAAAATCCGATGTTTTCAAATCTCGTTTAGGAGCGAGAAAGAACAACTTTCTCAACATAGTTATTTTTATATTAAGTGAGTGAAATAGTTTGGCGCGATCGAGATTCAGAAATTTTTGCCGAGAGTGATAAGTGGGGACAAAAAGTAGAGAACGTGCAAGAAACTACTATCATTTTGCTCACAAAACATATAAACATTTTTATAGGATCGCATGAAACAGTTCAAATTAAGAAATATAATTTTGTTTCATTGCTAGTCTCCGCAGTTTGATTGAATAAAGTGTTAGCATCGTGAACGATTGTATAAGAAAATGTTATGGAGAGCGAGCAAAGAGTGCAGGCAATGGGGACTTGCGAAAGACATTTATTTTATACTAAGACGCCAACATTTTCCTATGTCTAAAAACCTCACTTCACGTGCTCTTAACGTTGCATGGGCTTATTTACATATGATCACAAAAAACAACCAAGATTGTATCTGTTTCTGTAGGATCTGTAGGATTTCAGAGATAAAATATTCACTACATATTTTTGATGTTTGGAAGTCAGAAAAAATAAAAAACATTTTGAAGCCATTTGCATTGCTTGAATTTCTAAATATGGTGAGAAGTCAAATCAGCGGTTGAAGTGCGTAATGTACCACACGTACTCGCGTCGTGAACTACACGGAACAGTTCTACATTGGAGTGACATCCACGATGAAGGAGCGCGTTCGAGAAGCCCTCCGGTCGTTTGCAGGGCGCCGTCTACCCCACGTACTCGGACGGGAGCGTGGCGTCGCCCTACTCGCAGTCCATCCTGGTGCCGGGCGGCTACTCCTACAGCAGCAAGTTCAGCCCGCCGCCCGGGGGCGCGGGCGACATGCTGTACCAGCCGGCGGGCAAGCTGCTGGGCAAGAGCGACCCCACGCTCACGTCGGCCAGCACCAAGGCCAGCACCCCGCAGCCGCTGCTGTTCGGCGGCGGAGCTGGCGGCGCGGGCGGCGGCCTGGCCTACGACGCGCCCGGCGGCAGCCCCGGACAGGTGAGCACGGACCCAGGATTTCGTTTCGTTCTTAAGCGTAAAAATGAGGCGAAAAATTCCTTCGTGCCCCGCCTTTGGGAGTTCTCGCTCCTCTCTCGGTCGGGCTCCTTCGCCTCGTAGCTTGGTGAAACCCTACTGGCCCAGGTAGTCTCTCCAGACAAGGCGTACCCACCTCGTGAGGGACAAGGCCCAAGTACTAGCTCAACACAAGGCGTTCCCACATACCTTCGCCCAAATTTATGCTCTGAAACTAACACTTCCTTCAGAGGGGAAGTAAAGTTGGCTGTCCCATGTTGTAGATTTACAACATTGCATGTGAAAGATCCTTAATCCTAAAAGAAACCCGGGCATAAATTTGAATCACCTGTTTCGTCGCCAGAGTGATATATTCTTTCTCTAAGAGAAGGGGAAAGGAGCATAGTGAAATTTGCGTGGTCAGATTGGAAGAGTAGGCCAGAGTCTTGCGAAGTAAAATAAGGCATCATAAATTTCGAGGTTCTATGTAAGATATCCTATGTTATTTTCAAACAAATTCTTCCTACAACAGGGAAACATAAATACGATATATTTCCGATTTTCAATAAAATCCGTAACATTTAGAAAATTGGAAAGTTGATATTTTTTCGAACCTCTACTACACCTTCAATGTTAAAGTCAGAGTCAATGCAATTCACCCTCCAATCCTTAGATTTGTAAATTATATGCTCATTTTAAAAATACGAATAGTTGGATGATACTAAGAGGAGGAAAATTTTCGATATGTCACGCATTCCTACTAATTAAATTTTGTAAGTGACAAAACAAATGATAGTTCATTTTATCGCTGTTTTCATTTTTTTGTTCACTAATAATCATATCCCGGGGATTTATTACGAACATATAATTCTTATCTCTGAACCATATTTAGTGACGTCTTATCCAGTCATGGCAAAACCACAAGGTAGACTTACCTCTTGATCGATTTACGGCTTTTTCTTTGCAGACGCTGGATGGAATGGAGATAAGGTATTAGTAATATACTTCGTGTTTGAAAGCTAAGTTACAACAACATTCATAGAGTCAATTTTCCTGTTCATAACCAGAATGTGCCGGATTCGCAAACGATATCCGATCTCCTCATACGTTCACTGTAAACTTCAGTATGCAGAAGCTTATCTTGTGTGGAAGATTCCTCTAGTGTGTTGTCATTATTAATTAAGGAAATTGCTACTTTTGATATTTCTACATTTCCATGAATCGTAAGCAATGAAATACAGCAATATTGGTAAACTAAAAAAAATGGTAAATTTAAAATTTAAAAATAATTATAGCTGAGAGACAAATCTACAATGTTGATTTATTAAATAAAATTAAGTACTGATTACAGAAGAATTGATTACAGAATCAAAACTGAGTGGTTCTTAAATCGCATGATTTGAAATCTTCAAGATGTGATAAGTGATATTTGTAATTGGCTTCTAAGTTCTGACATCTACGTTTCATTAGTATTATAAGTGTAGTGCATGTTCTATCCCGAAAGATGTCGGCGTTCCTTCCTCTCTGGAAGGTCAGATTTAGCACCGACCTACACGTCAGCTTGAGAATTTATATTCACCATTTTCCCAAGCCGAGAAAATTTCTAATCTCGCGACTGGTCTCTCGTCATGTGTGGCAGTGTAGTGTATTTAAGCGTGTGTCTGTGCGCGCACGCGCGCGCATGTGTGTGTAAACTCGAACAAGGATATAGGATGCGACAAGGATATGGGACGGAAAAATCACGATCTGTGGCCTGTTTGTGAGAGTACTGCTCCGGCATTCCCCTGTTCGATATTGATCGGGGAAACCACCTAAAAGTACCGGTCGCTACAATTCTCCTCTACCCAGCGGTTGTAATCGAACCAGCCACAAAGCGATGGTACATAAAAATTAATCAATCAATTACGCCTTATTTTACATGGAAAAACTCAGGCTCAGATCATTAGACCAGCACTTCCGCTTGATCAAAATTCGTTACGTACCTTTCATCATCTAGTAGAGAAATAAGGTAATCCTCGGGCAATGAAAGAGGTAACTGCATATAGCTCAGACGCTTCTTTTTGGAGGGTTGAAGATATTTTACATGCAGTAAATCTACAACATGTGTCAGCCGGCTTTACGTCCCATCAGAAACAAGGCGTACGAAGAATTTTCTCGCCCTTAAAAATCCGCCTATTCGATGGAGTTTGAACCCACAAATTTGGGTATTATCGCCTCATACTTACACTAGCCGTTATACCACCGAAGCGGCAGACAGAACATCATTGCCATCAAGATGAAAATATATGGGCGAGCTCCTCCGGCACATTGACTTTTATACGCTTTGCGCAGCACCAGACACATCACGAACTACATGACAACAACACGGGCACTTGGTTTGAAAATCCACGCCAGACGCCGGCCGCCCTGCTACTTGGCAAGCGAGCAGTATTGAGAAACATTTTGAAAGAAGCATAAAGTGACAATTTTCAACGCTGACCAACCAAATTAACGATTAAGGTGTAGTTGAAGTAAAAGATGCAATATTTAAACTAATGATGCTAAATGAGCACGTACTTTCTAGCCCGTAATTTTACGTATAATTACACAAAAATGACTCAAATTTTGCACAAATTGTACATGAACGTATTTCAAGCGGCGCGGACGTGCGCTGCGCGTGTCCGCAGGTGACGCTGTACGCCAACGGCAGCAGCTACCAGAGCTACTGGACAACGGCGGGGCCGAGCGGCGGCGGCGGCGGCGGGGGCGGGTCGCCGCCCACCATGGAGTACGTGCCGGCGGGGGCGGCGTACGCGGGCGCGGCGGGCGGCGCCGACGGCGGCGCGCGCGTCGTGCTGGCCGACGACCAGCTGCAGTACGCCGGCGGCGCCTATACCCTCGCCGGCGCCAGCTGGGCCAACGTCGAGCTCGAGGGCTCCTACGATCCCGGTGAGGAGCCGACGCTCGCTTTGATAGGTTGTCCGAGTTTGCCCCGATATTGGGTAGGTTGAGTGGTGAATCGATGACGAATCGGTAGTGTCGGTGACGAATTGAGTTCATTACTGGTTGAGGCGAAAATAGGTTGGGTCGCTAGGATTCGTTGGCGTCTGATTTGAACGGTATAGTGTTTGGGGTCGGTTGAGATGTTGAATTTATGACGAATTGATTTCATGACAGGTTGAGTTGACAATGGGTTGGGTCGATACCGATTTGTGTCCACGACGGGTTAGGGTGAAGACGAGTAGAGGTGATGACGGATTGAGTCGATCACTGGTTGTGTCGATCACGAGCTGAGTCAATTACGTGTTGAATTAATCACAGGTTGAGTCCGGTTCAGGTTCAATCAGATACTGGTAGGGTTAAGATCGAGTCACGATCGATCTTTCGGGAGAAACTCGAGTAGCATAGGAACATACTTCAGTATTTTTTAATTGAAGTCGGGTTGAGATCAGGCTGCTTTCTGGTTGATGTCGAGCTGAGGTCAGAACCAGGTTACAACGGAGCTGAGCTTAAGGCCAATTCTAGAATTCGAGCCCATCAGGTTGGAATTATCGTCAGTCCGTTGCAGCGATGCAACGAAACTCACATATCAACTCAAATACCGATGTATTAGATCGTCAATCTCGCATCACCATCTAATTTTGTTTCCCAAATATGTTTAACCACACAAGATACTGATGTCATATGTTCTGAGTGATACAATAACATACCTATCTGCTTGGTTAGTTCGGACGAGTAGATAGTTGAGTTATCGGGCAAGGTTGGGTAGGGTTACCCGTGCGCACTATCTCCGATGTAACACGCTTACTCGTAGCCGACTCGACCCAACCCAGTATATTTCAACACTTTTATGAACTCTGACCGCATGAGCGTGCGATGTGTATTGTTAAACTTGGGAAACTTTCCAATATTTTTCAGTAAGTTAATGTACACTAAGCCAACTAATTTGTTCACGGTACATATAAATAGTGATTATCAGTGAATACAAAAAAAGAAGTTTAGAATTCGACGTACTCTTGTTGAAAAGTACCTTCTGTATGTGAAGTTGATGGTATTGTGTGTTTGAATAAAATTGTAGCCAGTACTGCTGACAAGCGCCAGACTTACAGAGATCTTAAAGAGGGAAGCGAGGGGAGAGTGCTGCTCGTGGCTTGCTCACCTGGCCGTGAGTTGTACTGTTCTGTCGAGAACGGGAACAAAGGAAAAGTGTGAAAAGTCTGGCGCAGGCAATACCAAGGACAGTATTAAACGCAGAAGTATTTTTCTAGAGTGTAGTCAGAAATGTATGGGTGTGGTAAAATTTGAAGATTTCAACAAGAGCAGATCAAATGGATAGGGATATATTTTTATAAAAGTTTATTATGTCAATGAAAGGGCTAGGAAAGATATATTTGTAGGTGTAAGGGAATATTATATTTATGATATAGAGGTAGAAATGATTTAGAAATCGAATATTTGACAACTTTTTAATGCGATATTGATTTATGCATGCAATGACACGTTCATGGATCTCTCTTCAGAGTTTCACCTTTTAAAATAATCTCATCTACTTTTTTAAAATTTAATACATAAACAGAAAGTGTGTTAGTATTTGTTATGCGTAAAAGGGCTTTTGAAGAACTTTAAATAGATTCATATTCAAGCTTTAACATTGATTCTTATTTTACCTCACCCTACTCCACGGGGATGTGATAGTGGTTGTGAGCTACCACAACTCTAGGAGTGTCTGGGTAACCCACAGACGTAGACCAGATTCACGCGCTTCCTTTTGACAAACAGTTTCGGGGTATTCGCGCCCGTGCGCATGCGCAGAGTGGCATCCGAGTCGGCGCAGCGGCTGTGCGAGTGCTAAAACGCCATTAATAAATACATATTAATATTTTATATTATTATTATTATTATTTATTATTATTATTATTATTATTATTATTTTGCGGCGAGATCCAGCGTCGACTACACGCTGGTTTGTGGGGTATTTCCCCTCGTGGCACGCCCCCGCCGCGCCGGACGAGCTCTAAAATTCCCGCAGGTAGTATGGTTCATGTGTAGTAAGCATTTGTGTTTCAAGGAAAAGACGTTGGGTCAAAGGATGGAAGGAAAAACACCCATACGCGGTCCGTGGCCCATTAGTTAGGGTACCACACTGGCATTCGCCTGGTACTGATCGGAGAAACCACTGAAACCAACCGATCAGAGCAGCCAACCGCTAGAATTGTCCTCCAGACTGAACGCGACCTCGCTTTGTTGCTAGTGTTAAAGCTCCCCGACCTAGGACTTCCAGGTCAAAACCGCGTCAGAGTTCGCGGCAATGCTCTGAGCCGCAGCCAGCCGGTAATGAAACCCCTTCCATCGTTGGTCAAAGCGACGCGTGTGAACGAGGTGGCATGTGGCGCAGCGTCCGTAGGGCTGGGCGGCATCGACATCAAGGAGTGCGTCAACTGCGCGGCCAGCGTCACCCCGCTGTGGCGGCGCGACGGCACCGGCCACTACCTCTGCAACGCGTGCGGCCTCTACAGCAAGATCAACGGCGTCAACCGCCCGCCCGTGCGCTCGCAGAACAAGAAGATGAGCTCGGTGAGTAACCCCCGTGCACCTCGCGCTGCCCTGCACACGCGGATCCACCCCCCCCCCCCACACACACAAACAAAATTGTAATTTTTCTAAATTATTACAAAATAATTATCACATCGCAGCTCCAATAGAAAAGTAACACAAGCGCGAAATAGTCATATTTCAGCTAAAAGTTGATAAGAGGTACCAAGAGGTATGCTACTATTCTGAAGTTGATTTTGAATTAGTTCAATTACTGTCCGCTATAATATGAATATTTGGTACAATCTATAACGAGTATTACAGAACTACGAAACTTAAAATTGCAATTTATGAGAAATCAGAAATTCGCACTTGTGTCACTTGGAGGTGCGATATCTGTTACAACATAAAAATATATTTCCATTATAAATATTATCGTATAAGTAAAATAAATTTATTTCAAAAATATTTATGGAGGATGTGATT